GGCCTAGTGTTTTTAGGGCACTTGTATTTTCAGATAAGGTATCAATGAAGTTTCTCAAAGCCTGGAGATATGTTTAGTATTTCATCCAAGTAACATGTAGCAAGTTTACGCTTATTTTGGAATCTAGATACAAAACTTTGCCAAGTAATGGTATAATTGACATCAGTTATGGGGAGATTCTTTGCTAACCTCAATGCATCATTTGTACATGAGCCAATAAGGTACATGAACCGTTCAATGTTTGACAATGATTTATTTTCATGCACTAGTTGTCTAAATAAATTATAAAAGGTAGGCCATTCTTTGAAGTTGCCAGAAAATGAAGGGAAACTAATTTTAGGTAACTTTGCTTGGCTTTGTACGGGCAAATGGTTAGTTTCAGATCTAGAACTAGGTGGTTGTACTTTTCAATTTCGGGAGGGACAATCTTTGACATAACAGTTAAAATGTAGTAATATTTGTCACTAACATTATCAGAAAGCTCTTCTACTTTACTATAATCTGATTCATCTAATTGACTTTTCAAAGCAATTATTTCTGATTGGAGTGTGTTAAATTCCTCAAATAACTCATGAATGGATGCACTACGAATTTTAAAGGATTCACAATCTTCAGACTCGGTGGTTATTCCTAAGCTTAAGCCTAGATTATAAACTTTGTCTATTTTCTTTAAAGCACAATTTCTACGAAACTGGACCGCATCAAGTTGGCTTTTAAGTTTCTTAACTACTTCATCCGTCATGTTACTAGAAGTGGGTTAGAAGAAACTAGTTTGAATTGTTGTAGTCTAACAATGGGACCAATTGTGGCTTTACATACAAGGTAAAGTAATTGAAAAGGGTCAAAAGAACAAAAAATGAATAAGAGATGTAAATTCAGGTCCAATATCCCAAAGCTTAGACTGTGATTGTGTAACTTGTTGTTTCCTGGATGGGAAAACAGCACAATGTGAATCTGTTGATTCCTTGGTGGAAAACAGTAATCTTCAAACTGTAGAAATTGATAAAAATGGACTTACAATAGATGCCGTGCACAATTAATGTGGCTGCGAAGGAAGGACCATAATGTTTTTGATAATTTGATTTTAAATGCACTTTTGTTAGACATAAATGTAACACTCACTTCATATTTTAATTCTTTATTTTACAATATTATTCTTGTATCATTGTTTTTACTTATTTTTATAACATATGTTTCTATTTTGTTTGTACAGTATATATAATAACTGCACTACACTGTATTGGGTTGATTATATATCAATTGGGCCTTAACAGTGGACTGACTGCACACAAAATGTCATCTACTAGGGTCTTAATTTAGTCTTTTGATGATAGTATATGCCCTTAACAATTTGTTTATGGCATTTTCAAATGATTTTATGTAAAAACAAACAGAAAATAACAAAAAAAATTTCACCAATTTACCCACGTGGGGTAATTTGGAGGTAAAATTTAACCTCCTTCCCCCCAATGGCCTTTTAAATTATTATCTTCTTTAAATATAAATAATTGTAGTTTAGAATGTCCTTTTTCTTGTAGGGACAGATTTGGAACATTTTCTCTACATCTGTATAGTGTATGGTAAAAAATATTAATTTAAAACGAATGCAATTTCTAGGCTCGGAGATTTTGAAAAAACGGATAAATCGTTTTATTTTTTTCTATTTTTTTTAGTTACGTACATGTCTAAGCAAAATTATTTTTTATTACCTACTAGAAAATATGTAAACAATGTTTTAGTGGTTTTAAAACCTAGCCTAATTTAAACATTTCAAAAAGGGTTAAATAATTATTTTTAAAATTTACCTCCAATTTACCCCACCACCGATTTCCCCCATTCTACCCTAATAAACTAAACTAAACTCACCTAACCTAACCCAACCCAACCTAACCCATGCTTAGGTTAACAATGTGAAATAATGACCGATTTTGGGTAAACCCTGGATAAGTTAGGTTAGGTTAGTATTAAGTTATTGACGCATAGTAAAAATAAATTGAGTACAGTTTCTTAACTTAGCTATGCTAATACCGATTATTAGTAAACCTTAATTCGATATTTACACTATCAGCAAGTTTGGTTGGTTAGGTTAGGTTATGACAGTTAATTTTAAAATAACTCAATATACCTTGTAAATGTATCAATTATTAAACGATATTTTCAATTTGATAGTTTCAATCGATAGGGCCTAAGTTAAGTTAGTCCAGTTAAGAAACTGTACCCAAAAAGTTTTTCATGCGTCTAAAATCACCGATGTGCTTAAAATAGTCTAATTTAGGTAGATAAGGCAATAAACTGTAATATAACATAGGCTACACAGAAAACATTTTAACATAACAGAAAACATGTTTTTTTTTCAATTGACTGGTCATTTCTTAATAACATATCTAATAGTAGCTCTTTTGAGTTATTCATGGAAAAGTTCCATGAAAAATTATATTTATGTATTCCCATCAAACCGGTAAAGAAAAATCCTCATGTAAAGCGCCGTGGAACTGGAAATGCTTGGTTCACAAATGACCTCCGTCAGCTCCGTGAAGAAACTTTAACATGTTACCATAATTTATTATGGGCGTCCAAGTACAACATCAATGTGGGATTCTTCAAGCAGACCTACATGGATGCTAGGAAGGACTATAAAGCAGCCATTAAAGATGCTAAACTTCACTTTAACGCCAAGATTATCGAATCGTCCTCTAACAAATGTAAGACAGCCTGGTCTGTTATAAATTCAGCTAGGATTAGCTCCAGCAAGGCGGGCGTTGTACCCATAACTGCGGATGAGTTCAACCAATACTTCATCTCATCTGTGGCGGATGTTCAGAAAACTGTCAATCTCAATCAACCTGCTTCTACTTACCTGCTCAACAATTTTGCTGTATACCCGAGGTCACCTTCAGATGGAAGCCAGTGAGCTGAGATGATGTCGCAAAGTTGATACTAAACATGAAAAGTGGAAATTCCAAAGACATATATGGTATCAATAGTGATTTTGTAAAGGAAGTGGCCCACTTTATAGTGGCCCCACTTACACATTGCATAAATGATTGCTTTACTAGTGGTGTCTACCCCTTGTGCCTGCAATCCTCAAAAACTGTACCAATCTACAAGAAAGGTGACACTAGTTCTCCACGATGCTACAGGCCGATCTCTGTGGTGCCTTGTTTTTCCAAAATCGTTGAATCAGCAATGAAACACCAGGTAAACAAATTTTTTGAGACTAACTTTTTGTTTTCCAAATTTCAGTTTGGTTTTCGGAGAGGGCTGTCTACTGTGGATGCGGTCGAGAGCCTTGTACAGAAGGTTGTAGATGGTTTTGAAAACCACTCACATACTACTTTAACAACTTTATGTGACCTTACCAAGGCTTTCGATTGCGTTCCGCATGAGATACTCCTCACAAAATTAAGGCATTATGGCATTGTTGGTGTGGAGCTTAGCCTATTTCAATCTTACCTAGAAAATCGCTCGCAGAGAGTTCAATAATGCCCTCTCTGACGTAGCTCTGATCAAAAGTGGAGTACCGCAGGGTTCGGTACAGGGCCCATTCTTGTTCCTTGTACATGTAAATGATCTCTCTTCAAACATAGGTGTAAACTCAGTTGTCTTTGCAGATGATACAACCTTTTTTTGTAGTGGTTCTAATGTAAATAGTCTTGTATTGTTAATGAATAATGCTCTAAATGATGCTAACTCTTGGTTTGAAACAAATGGGTTACTTTTGAATGACTCTAAAACTCAGAATATTTTATTCACTCTTGGTAAACCTGATCTTGGGCTTTTAGATGTGGAAAAAAATGTAAAACTTTTGGGAATCTGGCTTGATTTTTCTCTCTCTTGGTCTTCCCATATTGAATCCCTGTGTGTTAGGCTCAACAGGGTAATTAATCTGTTAAGAAAACTTAGAAATCTTGTTCCTAAGCCATATCTGAAAATATCTTATTATGCTTTTTTTAATGGCATCTTGAGTTATGGTCTGTTATTGTGGGGAAATGGAGCAGATGTCAAAAAACTTCTTGTGCTACAGAAAAAGGTCTTTAGGATTGTAAGTGGTGCGCCCTTGGATGCACATTGCAAGCCTCTGTTTCAGTCTGAACAAATACTGACTATTGTAAATATGTATATATTTGTCTGCTTGGTACGAGTTAAAACAAAACTAGAGAGTTACGCTTGTAGAAGCTCGGTGCACTTGCATGTGACCAGAAACAGTAATCTGCTAGATGTACCTTTTGTGAGACTATCGAACTATGGTCATAGTTTTCCAGTCACGGACACTCAAATTTAGTTGTCAAACAGTTATAATCTAACCTAACCTAACCAACCAAACTTGCTGTAACATTTCGAAATTCTGTTTTATATTCACCACATGACTTTTCTATTATCCAATGGAATTACTCGAATTAAAATTAAAATTAAATAGCATGATTTGTCTAGGGGGGGGGGGTAGTATTCCAGTCGCGGACACGGCTTCCATATTGGTTAGTTGGCAGATTTTGTGACGTCACGTTTCACCTGGGGGGGGTAGTTTTCCGGGGGATAGTATTCCGCATCCCCTTGTACTCTACATCCATATTGTACTCTTCCTTGAAAAATGTTTAACCAACGTAATATCTACGGTACCTATCGTTGACCATCCCATATGCAATTGTATTGTCTATTGGGAAATAGGCCTAAAGCTTTGATTTGATTAAGTTAGTAATAAGATTAATCTTCCGGATCCTAAATACTTTAGAAGTGTGTAAATGACATTTATTCCAAGCAAGAACCTTCATCAAATGGATTTACAAAATATAGGATCCTTGATGACCAAACAAAGGGCGCACGTTGTCAACAATTTACAACCAGAGAGGCACAACACAACAACAGTGATGCAACCCAAGGAACCAAGTATGTCGACTATGTAACTGGGGCAAATTATTCAAACATTCAATAGTTGCAAACTACTGATTAAACAACTGTTTCCAAAATAACTAACATTAAATTACCAAAGTTAATCCACTTACCGAAATAAAGTAGTTTCACAAGGTCAGCTAGTGCTAGAAAGAAAAGGAGGAAGCCGGTCCGGTCGGTACTATACATAACCAAAAAAGCTGAAGCAGAAGTCAGGGTTTAATTGCAAAGAGGAATGGATCAGTAATATCTATGCTTGTATACTAAATAAAATTACATTAAAAATACCCCCACCACCACAAACCCGAAGACTACGCGAATTTCCATGCCTATTGTATTTATTACTTAATGGGACAATAAATCTCTTCAATCTCTCTTGAAATCTCTTGAGTACCGGGGACCGAGCCTTGCAAGGTTCTGGGATAGATAAAACCATTGACTACGAATAAGTTTTATCTATCTTATCTATATATATAAAAGAAAAAGCCCTCACTGACTGACTCACTCACTCACTCATCACTAATTCTCCCACTTCCCATTTACCTAGGAGGCTGAAATTCGGTACACCGATTCTTTGGGCATTAAATAGGACAACTAAGTAGATTTTATTCTGATCGGGCTTTCGGGCTCCGCCCCAGTGGCTCTGGAGTTTCCCATGTTAACCTTATGATGTTTCATATTTAAAAGGAAGTACCTGGGGACCGAGCTTTGCTCGGGGAAAATCATTAGTCCACTCTGAAAGCAGTCTTAGTACTATATTGGAGATACAAAAATCCATTCCCAAACTCCACACGGCTCGCCTTTACTACGTCCTACAAGATTTCCTACGTCATGGATCTTTTCCCCTCCATTTCCATATAGCACTTAAGAATTGTAGATACCTTAATCTAATCGTTATTAACAGTTCCCACACTCCGGACAGCTCACCTTGACTACTTCCTTCACCACTTCCAACGTAGCGGACCTGTTTTCCTCCCTTTCCATAGCATTTTAGGATTGCAGATACCTTAATCTAATCGTCATAAACAGTTCCCACACTCCAGACTACTCGCCTTGACTACATCCTTCACCACTTCCTACGTCGCGGACCTGTTTTCCTCCCTTTCCATAGCATTTTAGGATTGCAAATACCTTAATCTAATCATCATAAACAGTTCCCACACTCCAGACTACTCGCCTTTACTACTTCCTTCACCACTTCCTACGTCACAGACCTGTTTCCCTCCCTTCCCTTAGCATTATTGGATTGCAAATACCTTAATCTATTGGTCATAAACAGATCCCACACTCCGGACAGCTTGCCTTGACTACTTCCTTCTCCCTGTTGTACATAGCTTAGTACCTAGGAATAGTACCCTGTTCCCGTGGTCCGATCATGCTGGTTCGCGAACTCGTCCTAAGTAACATAGGTTTACACGTTTGTACCAAATTTCATAAAAATCGGATCATTTTTGCTCGAGTTATCGTGCTATAACGGACATATATATATATATATATATATATATATATGAATTTGAACGAATAGTGTTTTTGGCTTCTAGGGACATCAAAATGAAAAAGTAAATCGGTCCCGGGTCCAAGTCTTACCATGAGACCTACGGTAATAGCTTATTCCCTATATGGGAAATTCGCTAAAAAAACTACTTTTTGGTCGGTATCACAGTATTGCCCGGGAGCCTAAAATGGGGTATTTCGGGGGCAACTGCAACTAAAAGATTTTAAATATAAAGACCAATCAAGTGACCCCTCATTTTGAAAGCCATCAGTTTAAAAGAATATCAACGAAAACTAGAGTTCCCTGTCTCGGCCACATACAGATTGGCCAATGGATCGAGGGTCTTTTCTAACATACAGATTGACCAAAGGTCCTAATGAGCAGTGACAAAAAATGGGGGAGGAGCTTACAGCAGTGATGTACCGTGTGGGGGAGGAGCTTGTCTATTAAAGTAAAATGTTTGTTAACGTTTTCTAATCTTACCCGACACAGAGGTGGTCAAATTCAAGAGACGAGTTTTACTTTTTAAAACACTAAGTTTTATGTAAGCTGTTAAGTAAAAAAATAAGGTTCTTACATTCAAATGTAGCTTTAACAAAACAGTGCGGTATTCTAATGCAAATAAAAAGGCTATACAATCTAACTAATTACTTTTAAACTCACTATCAATTTCTTGTAAAGTACACAAAATACGTTTTTTGGGAGGTCGAGTTGGTTACGTAATTGTTATTTTGTTTGACCTATAGCAATTAAGATAATGTTACCATTTAAAAGTTCTGAAGTGTTCTTTAAAGATTCAAAGCATAAGCATTCTCGTTTTATGTGTATACACATTGTTTGAAAATTGCCTTGAACTAGCTGTTACCCACGGGCTTCACCCCGCTTGACTTCATAAGTATTAATAAACCTTTGGTTAAGTTAAGATGAAATAATAAACCAAACAGAATACAGTAATACAATAGTATTATTTCGTACCTAGGACCGAAAACGAGGTTTTGCCGGCTCGAGATAGTTTCTAAGTTCGAGACGAAGTCGAGAACTTAAATCGATCGAGAGCTGCAAAACCCATTTTCGGTCCGTGGTACGAACACTATTTTTCACCACACTACTACTATTCACAATAATAATATAATGAAAACTGCTAGTCAACGCAACTTATTTAAGGCTATGTGAAGAATTAATTTCAGGAATCAGCAAAAATAATAATAAACAGTTGCTAGGCAACGGTGACAATAAAACAATTCTATTTCAATGCTATGGATACTGTTTGTGTAATTAATATGCAAGCGGACAGCTGATTTTGCGGCCCCGGGATGTAAAAACCTGCTCGGTCCCCAAATTACGATGACAGCTGGCATGGCCAGCAAAACGTAACTTTCAGCCACCAACTAACGTATGTAATACACATCCAAAAACATCATAGTGTGGTGAAAATAAATTATCACACCTGATTTTAATAAGGTAATAAATTGAAAGAATGACAAATAAGTACATCTGAGGTATTTTTAACATTTGGTATACGGAAAGTTTCCTTTGGAAAGCAATTATTACGACCTAAAAGGACAATCTATGAAATAATGAATAGTTTTGCGCAAGGTTTCTCGTCATGACCAACATTTTAAGTATATAGTTTATGGGGGTGTGACTTGTAGTATTCTCAAATGTTCATGGGTACTTTGGGCTGTATATACAGGTGTCCCAGAACTCTCTACCAATATTTTAGGGCATTGATCCTGGGTAAGAAACGTACCTAAATATCATATTTAAATTGTCCGGAAGTCCTTAGTTACTCACACAGTCGCCATTTTGTTTTTTTTTCAGTTATTAATTTTTTTCTAAAGAATGATTAAAGATACGAAATGGAAACTTTGCACACACATTTATGACAACTAGACAAAGCTACAAAAAATTATGAAGATTTTTAAAATTCATAAAACAAAATGGCGGCCATTTTAAATTTTCATTCTTAAAAAACTCAAAACCATTGATTTTACAAAAATTTTAAATGGCCGCCTGAATTCTGTTTTATGAATTTGAAAAATCGTGATAATTTTTTGGTAGCTTTGTCTAGTTGTCATAAATGTTTGTGCATAGTTTCCATTTCGTATGTTTAACCATTCTTTAGAAAAAAATTAATAACTGAAAAAACAAAATGGTGGCTGTGTGAGTAACTAAGGACTTCCGGACAGTTTAAATATGATATTTAGTTATGTTTCTTAACCAGGAGCAATGCCCTAAAATATTGGTAGAGAGTTCCAGGACACCCTGTATAGATATCTGTTTTAGTATTTTGCACACGATGTTCATTTTTAAGTTCACAAAACCAATCTAGCAATATTCATTATAGGAGTAGTATTTTAACAAAAGTAAAAAAAGGAAAAAGATATTCCATTGGAAGTGAAATAAACCGAATAAAATGTTCTACCACAGAGTATCAAAATCTACTCACTTACTCAACATTCACCTAAACCAAAAATTAAAATTCAAAACTTCAAATAATTCTTAACAATTCGCCTTAAAATCCTCAAATAAATAATAATTTGTCATTAAATTACTTATTCGGTCAGCTACATTTTCAGTTGACGTTAAAAGAAAATAATAACTCCAAATTGCATTTATCAAATAAGTTATATATTTCTTAATAATTAAGGATTTTTGTGTGCAGCAAATCGACACCTAAGTATTTATTGTTGTAGGCATATTTTGCATCTAATTTAAAGATCTTATCCTCTAGATGTGCCTTTTGCGCGTTTGGATGATATCCCGTGAAAGAATATAAGCTTGTCATATTAGCTTTTAGTCCAGGACCTGACTAGGGTTCTGTGTGCATGTCGTGTATAGAGAATTTTGCTTTTGCATTTCAATATAGGTGTCTTAGGAAGTGTTTTCCACTCGGGTGTCAAGTTCGCACCTGGTACGTTTTCGAGCTATGACGTCATCAAAATAGCGGCCATTGATTTTTTTAAATCGTATATTTCGCAAACTATTTGTCGGATCGGAATGAACTTTTTTTTGTTTGAAAGATAATTTTAAATGCTACCTGTTTTACATTTACACATTTGTTGTATGTTTAGTACATTCTTCGTAACTTTGCAAAAACCTGTATTTTTAAATATTTTTGAGTTATTTTTGTTTGTAACGTTTTATTGATACAATTTATCAAAAACCACCAATGAAAAAAGTTGTAGAACATTTAAAAAGCTTTACAAAAATACCAAATTCGATATGTTTTACTCAAAAGATTACGCCAAGAAACTAGATAAATCTCATAAAAACACCTATTTTGGCGCAAAAACGCCTATTAGTCCGGCATCTAGGGCAGTTCGCAAGTCTTATAAAGACAGTTTCGCTATTCAATGTTGATGTATGTATCTAAATAAGTGTTTTCAACTCGGGTGTCACGTCTGCACCCATTGCAGTTTCCGGCTATGACGTCATTAAAATGGCGGAAAGGGCTATATTAAAAATAACGATATTTTACATACCATGTATCGGATCGGAATGAACTTTTTTTTGTTTGAAAGATAAGTTTACATGCTTAGTTCAATTAATCTATTAAATTAACATTGTTTGAGTTGTTGTATTATTGTATTAACAACTCAAACAATGTTAATTTAATAGATTAATTGAAAATCAATCCAGGCAAATGGAAATTCGCTTAGTCGACAGGATTGCTGCACCGGGGGTATTTATATAGTGGAAACATTCCTATGGACTAATTACATTGATTTGTTGTGCTTTTATTTG